AGTTAACGGAAAATTGTCGCAAACTCGCCCAAAAAATCTGAAAATATGGGCAGATTTTCAGATTTTTCGGTAGCCGACTTCGTGGGTATATTTCGGCCGAATCCCTTCCAGTTATGGGGAAATTTTTGGTGTTAATTGAAGAGAACATTGTGGGCTTTCCAACGGTATACAAATTCAGCGGTCTCCGTGGCCTGAAGCTGCCGGAAAATCGCCGCAAAACTTGCCCAAAAAATCTGAAAATTCAGTAATCGTTTGTGAAATAAGTTTAAATTTCAGTGACCGTTTTTGCAAGTTTTAAACTTTAGTGACCGTTTTGTGATTTTCAGTTAACTTCAGCAGCCGTTTGTGAAATTAACCCTTTATTAAAAGTAAAAATAAATTTCTTCTATTCGTTTTAACTTAAGTGATCGTTTTGTGATTTTCAGTTAACTTCAGCAGCCGTTTGTGAATTTAACCCTTTATTAAAAGCAAAATTAAATTTCTTCTATTCGTTTGAAATATGCTGAAATACCATGTGTAAAAGCATCATGATCGTAGAAAGTCAATTTCACCAAAATATATAGATATCATAGATTCCGAGGAAAGATTTGATGGATAAGACATTTCATTGCCTGGTGAAAGCTCCCAAAATCTTTTCATCTCCTAAGTCAAAAACATACAACATTCATCTCTATTACTAAACTTATTTATCCATTTCTCATAAATTCCAACTTCCTAACAACAAAGTTAATCTCTTCCCTGTAATCTTCTTGTATAGCTCGGATTCTTTGATTTATTTGTTTAATGTTGGACCATCTTATCAACAAGATATATGGTATCTCATTCCTATTCAATTGTGAAAGTAATTCAACGCGTAAATGAGGTAGCGCTCTGATACAATAATTTTACGTAAATAAATATGTTCATTCTTTAAGCAACTTACACTTTTAGATAAGGTGATTCAATGTAACACTAATGTAAATAAAGATCCTAAGTAATGACACCATCCATTTATGGGTCTATACATAAGGAGCTTTGAAATGTAAATTACTAAATATGTATACTTTCTAATAGCTTATGTATTAGATGAAGCAATTCAATATTCCTATATCATTTCCACTTTTATTTTCGTATATTTTCCTTTCTCACTTCTAATTTTATTACTTGTACTTTCACAACATCTAGCTTGAAATTCTTCCCAAATTTCTAGATTTTCAAATTACAACTTTCTCAACCCTAAAGAAACAGTATGTGGTCTCTATGATAAAACCAAATTCAAGATTTTTCAGCCCCTCAATGTTAAATTAGTTAAGATATCGACTGCAGAGATCAAACCTAAAATCTGGTCAACTATCCATAAGGGAGAGGATGATAAAAAAAAATCTATCTAGCATGAATCAAGTTTCTTGATTGTGGATGAACAATAGAAGTCTGAATGCTTATTCTCCTTTCCAAAGGGTAAGAAAGAAAGAAAAGAAAAGTAATCCATACATGGGACAACCCACATGAATTCCCATGCTGTTGATTCAACCATGCATAAAACCTTTATCTAATAGTGTCCGTTTAGAATTGAATCACCACCAGACAAATATACCAAAGACAAACAAACAAGCAATTTTGGACCCCACAGGTTGGGCAGGACCTACGCTCTCTCTGCTGGACAATACTCCTGAGTGGGAACGGATCTAGAACCGGATTACAACCCAGCTAATATGTAAAATAAACCAAAATAAAAAAATTACTCATGAAATTATTATTGTTTTTACATAAAGAAAAAAATACATTCTTTTTTACACCAAAAAAATGAAGTGGGCTACAGCCGCCCGGCTCAATCCCCCTACATCCGTCCCTACCCCCAGGAGATAAAGGAATGCATCGTGACGGTAAACAAGAGAACTACATTTTGGAAATGGGTTATGCTACAAGTACAGGATTTCAAAAATCCTGCACTTACATACACCACACAATGGGGGGTGGGTGGGGGAGTTTTGGCAATATTTTATTTAACATGGGGCCCACCTCCATGTGAGATAAAATTCAAAATCCTGTGCAAATTCTGTGAAAATCAAATCTGTACTTGAAGGTTAATCCTTTGGAAATTGGAAGCAATTACTAATTCACCATACAGAATGAAAACTTCATTTACGATCTCATTGAAACCAAATACTTTATTACCTAGATGAACATCAAAACAGCAGCTCACACTCACCAGCTTGCTCCGTGCAAAGTACATTTTGAAATTTGCAGTTCAATGAACCAGTAGTGAAAATGGAAGCAGTTACTAATTCACTGTACAGAATGAAAACTTCATTTACGATCTCGTTGAAACCAAATACTTTATTACCTAGATGAACGTCAAAACCACAGCTCACATTCACCAACTTGCTTCATGCAAAGTATGTTTGCAGTTCTATGAACCAATAGGGACATCGAAGATTCCGGTTTACCAGAAAAAGACACGAAAACTACAGTTGTACATGTGTCCTTTTCCAGTGGAATTTCTGAGTTACTAGTTTTCTCTCCTTTAACAAACTCTGAAAATGTCTTAAATTTGATACTGTTACCAAGAAAAAAAAACACGCACACATGGGGTGTTCACCAAGTGTAGCTCTACTTACTACTAATGAAGAAAGCCCATTCCTTCATGTTGTGATGCAGCTTCCATTCAATTTCAGTGTTTCACTAGTGTCTAGTGGATTGTAGGCAGTGTCCTAGAGGTGTCAAAAACACGCTGGCTGGCCCGAAAGCTTCAGGCACTGCATGACCCGCCCTTACAGGGAAAAAAAAATCCTATGCAAATTTATCCAAATGCAATTGTACGTGGTCCTGGAGTCTGGCCAGGTAAGGTTTACACCTCAACATGGCCAGGTAAGGTTTACACCTCAACACTGTCTTCAATCCTCGTATCCTAGTTCTGCAGGTCTGACAGAACAATGTGAGGCATAACTTCTCATCCTCCTTTTGTCCTCTCCTGCTTTCAGTTATATCAGTATTCTACTATAAGTTATACCAGCAATTCAGCAGGCATGAGCAATTTCTTTGAGGGGACGGGCAAAGTCGGAGTCATTTGGCTAGAAAGTTACACTAGGTCGCATCAGGATCTGAATTCACTATTCACTAGTCTGGACAGAACCTACGAGCACAAAACTCTAAAATGTAAAGTCAGTCGTCAAACAGAAACTAACTGCTTTCAGATAGTTTTAGAAAGCTGCTTGAGAACAATTAAAAGTAAGCCTTGAAATTTTACTCCTAACATCAATTGGAGTTACTTCAAGTAATCAATGTTCCTTAATAATGTCAGAACAGCATTGATAAAATCAAGGAAGGACGGAGATTCAAGCTGGAAATAATGGACGAAATTAACAGAGGATAATGTAGGAAGGAAAGCTGTAGAAAAAGGAACTGAAAATAAAAAAGGCCTGCTGTGATGCAGGGAAGATGAAGAAAAATTCATTCATTCATGCTTAAGGAAATTACAAGGTAATCTATTCTATTTATAGAGAAAATAGCTAACCAAATTATCTGACAAACTAACAAGATAACAAACTAAAAAAGTATCTAGAATAAGCTAGAATCTGTAAGCTGGAAGCAGAGAATGGAACGTGCTAATGTTGCATGGTTTGTTGGTAACTGGTTTGCTGGTAAACGTCTGGAGAACTGGAGAGATGGTACGTGCTGATGCTGTGAACTGGAGGCTGGTCTGCTAATGAACTGAAGGCTGGCTTATATTCCAACACTCCCTCCTCAAGATTGAACATCTTGAACCGTAGAGAAGGAGAGTAGAGATGCAATCAAGGAGCATCTTGTTTCGAATCAATTTCAGTTTTCTTCAATTCCATTTGTGGTCTAAGGCTCCATTTCATTTTGAGCTACTTTTCTCGGTTAATCTTCCTTCTCTTTTGAGAAGGAATATCTTCAAAATCTTTTTTCAAAATCTTCATATCTTCATTCAGAAGATAAAATCAATCTGAGCAGCTTGCCATTCCAGCAGGTTCTATCTTCATTTTCATTTCAGTTTGATGAAGAAGAACAACATCTCTTCAGTTTTCATCCATTCCGACATTTCGTCGAGTATCTAGTGAGCCAAGTCACATTCCCATTTTCTAGTAATTCTGTGTTGTTGATTTTGGGAATTTTTTTTTTTTTTTTGAATCTTTTGATAGATTCAATTTAGAAAAGATAAAGAAGAAGATAGAATTGCAGATGGAAGGATCAGAACCTGCTCTGATGACATGATTAAATCAAGGAAGGAAGGAGATTCAAGCTGGAAATAATGGACAAAATTAACAAAGGATAATGCATGAAGGAAAGCTGTAGAAAAAGGAACTGAAAATAAAAAAGGGATAGGCCTGCTGTGATACCGGGAAGATGAAGAAAAATTCATTCATTCATGCTTAAGGAAATTACAAGGTAATCTATTTTATTTATAGAGAAAATAGCTAACCAATTATCTAACAAACTAAGGAAGTATCTAGAATAAGCTATAATCTGTAAGCTGGAAGCAGAGTCTAGAACGTGCTGATGTTGCATGGTTTGCTGGTGACTGATTTGCTGGTAAACGTCTGGTGAATTGGAGAGATGGTACGTGCTGATGCTGTTAACTGGAGGCTGGTCTGTTGATGAATTGGAGGCTGGTATATATTCCAACAAGCATCAAGTGCCCATTCATTCAATATATAACTCAAAGCATGATAAAATATTAATGAAATTCGATAGCGGCAAATAATAAAATCTTTAAATAGTATGTACAAGAGCAAGGAAGCTCGCACACGCGGGCCAGAAGGGTGTCAAAATTAACATACATCTCTCTTTCCAATATCTCATGCAAAATTAGAGATTATTGCTCCAATAAAATCGGATGACTTCATACTACTTATACTAATGAAGGAAGAAACAAAGCCTAAAATCCCTATGGAAATTCTATGACCACATAAATATTAGACATTAAACAAATATATCAAGTTATAGGTTTCATGTACAAGAACAAACAGGTTATTTCCAGCTCTCATTCCCCAAAATTTTCATTTTGCAGAAACCATCTGATCAATTTCGCCATTTTGGTTGTACATAGACACAATTTTCTTCGCATATGATGGCATATGCTTATCAGCTCTGCACCCATAAATGTTAAATAAGCACACAAAGATCTTTGTTCTTCACCAGTGACAACTATGTCAAGCATTCATATTTGAAACATACCTTTGTTTACCCCAGACACGATTTACATGGAGGTAGTTTCGGATAGTGTGGTAATCAAGGGAATACCGGGCAAATTCCAAACCCTTAGGACCAATCTTAGGAAGAAGAATGATATGAGAAAACAGAACCTTTGATAATTGTTTCTAAAGATTTAAGTACAAGTGCAAAAGATCCTTACTAGATTTAACACAAATGCTAGAAAGTTGCCAATGAATCTTGGGGCAGGCTTCGAAGGTCCTCTCCCTAGGAAAATAATCAAGATGAAAGTTAAAAAGGGTATCTTGAAGTAATAGGGAATTCAAAGGCTACACCATCACCTAGCAATATTTAAATTCAAGATCCCAAAAGATAAGAGGAATCATAAAGAACTTGTAAAAAATTACTAGATAACTAGGAGAGTCTTCAGCCTATTTCTCAAGTACATAGCTACCATAAAATTGAATCTCCTTTTAATTATACACTCGTGAATCACACCTCCTACTTTGAGAAACTTCATGCTACGCACAAAAAAAAAAAAAGTGTTCACACTCAATAATCTTTTAGGATTCAACGTTGCATTAAAAACTAGACATTTCCAGTTAACCCTCTTTTTTTATACACAATAAAATTACCTTGGTTTTTCGCTACTTTTGATTCTAGATTCTAGTAAAAAATTGTTGTATTAGTATATTTTGACGAAATAGGTGTCTTGATATTCAATAGTATTTTCATTACACGCTTTCTTGTCCATGAGTATTAAACCCTGCATGTGAATTTCTCCTAGGGCTAGGACCAATGCCATTATCAGGAATATGACCCTCTTGAGCTACCATGATGACATCGGGCCCTTTTACAGATTGAAAGATATGGACTTCCTAATATTAGATGACGTTAACTTGATTCTCATTTTCTATTTATGTATTGGACGTAGCACTTCCCTCTCTTATTCCTTTTCTTCACTTGTTGCATTTCTTCGCCTTTGGGAGGTCAGGTTTATGTCCCCCTTTTATTCTCATGAGTTTTATTTTTATATATAAGGTTGGGGAAATAAACTCCCATCAGCCTTCCCTGGTAGAGTCTGAAAACCCATTGAGGGCTGGTGTTTTGCTTTAAAATAAAAATGTGATTTTCTCCTAGTAGGATCTTCAAACTCGACTAATCAATTCTGTTATTACAGCTTAATTATAATTTGTCCAGAATACTATGGTTTGAGTAGTAAAATCATTATTTCTTCCGTTGGGTCATCAAATTTGTATCCTTACTCAAATTTTCCTGGAATTCTCTACCCATACAAATCAGGAAATTATACAGCTCTACAATCTCCTGGATTGGTCTTCTCCAACATATTTGCCAAACACTAAACAACCGTAGTAACACCAAAAATAAAAAATAAAAAGAGAGAGAGGAGAAAAAGAAAAATATTCCAAAGGTACTGACAGAACAATGAAAACCTACATGGAACCCTTAATGTGGGAAGGAAAACGAGTAGTCATATAATATTTAACAATTCAATGCTAATAATAAGCATGTTCATATGTAGGTCAGAGATACGAGCACCATGTAAATCATCACTACATGACGCGTACCATCACATACCTAACTTGGCATTATCATCTGCCTTCACTGTTTCCATAACAAATGGACGCCTTTCACCCTGGGAATAGCAAACAACTATGAGGCCACTTTTATAGGAATCACAAAAATGCATAAAACATATGATAAAAAAATGCATTACACCACTAGTTGTAGGAGTGATCTCGAGAAGATCGTTCACCAGGCTTAGCATTTCCTTTCCACGTTCATTTCTGTCATTTCAATAGGCAAAAATGCTATAAATATGCCTTGAAAATAGAGACAAAATGGATGAGAAATTACAGGCTTAAAATCACAAGGAAAAGGCAGAAGAGGTGACAAGGATCCAGAAATTTGCATTGAATTACCTAACGGTGACATATTGTGGATGTTGAGTCATGCTGAGTCCAGCATACTTTGGCACACCCATGTACCCTACTACCAGATCCTGTGCCAACTCAAATCACAGAAGCAACAATTGTACCGCTTACTAGTTGAAAGGTTATTTATATTAACGGGGACTCGACAACAATAGATATTGCGTGCAGTAACACAAGTCACTACTTGTTCTATAAGTCCAAAAGGCTAAATTTAACACTTGCCAGCAACTTTATGAATCATAAGGGGTGCACCGGGGGTCGGGGTAGAGAGAGAGAGAGAGAAGAATATCATAATGTCACAGCAAAGTACTAGATTACAGATGAAATCATCCAAGATATTATAGACTCTAAGAATGTGAGAAAAATTTAAAGGGCTCCAACCATAAAAACATATAGTTCCATTTTTTAGGTAGATGTCAAGCCTAACACGTGTATAATTCATTTAAATAAAGAGCAACGAGACTTTAACCTAGAATCTTTGTTGCTCTGATACTATGTTGAATCACTTGATCTAAAAAATTAAGTTGTTAGATAATGTTACATGTATATCATTCAAATACTACCTTCAACGCCCCTTTTTCCATCAAAGAATATCCTCATATTAACCACACATATAGACAGAAGAATTTCAAAAAGAAAAATTTCAAAGAACAGGTGGTGAGGTTGGAGTTGATGAGGGTTCCTGGGAAGGAATTGGTGACAGGACAGGGACTGGCTTGGGTTGCGTAAGAACGGATGAGGATAAAGGGGAAAGCTTCTGAGGATAAGAAAAAATTGGGTAACTCGGACTTGGGTTGGAGATGGAAAAAAAGAAGGATTATAAGATGATAGATTAGTGATAAGGCAGCAAAAGGTGGTGTCAGGGAAGTGATGTTGGGATGGGTTATTTTCAGAACTTGTTTCGTTTGGTTGGGATACGGCATTTCTACAAAATAACTAAAATTATTTTTTCACTCAACATTTCAAGGAGCTTCATGATTACACATAAACATTCAGAAGTTAGAAGTACTCCAAGGTTACTTCTGGCTTATGGCTTTTGACAGCTTATATGAAGCGAAGAAAATGCTATAAGCTTGAAGTATTCCTAGAATGAAGAGTTTGAAAATAATAAAGAAATAGAACTGCCTAGGAGAATTAAATTTTGAAAAAATATACACACTCCACCAACACCCCTCCTTTCTCTCACTGAAATGCACATGCAACAAACTACACTACATGTTCAATCAAAAAGAATACATCCAAAGTTGGTATGTCATTTGGAAAAAGAATGAAACCTAAACATTTCCATTGATTTGCAAAATGGAGAAATTAATTTTGATAATCAATGACATTAAATCATGGTGGAAACCCAAATTTCTCAAAATACATTAGTATAATCTTCACGTGATATGATATTCGACAGGTTTTCTTTTTGCCAAAATTTCAGGTTTCTATTTATGAAGCACGATTCTCTTTCTAGTCTTTTAGGTAATCAAAATATCATGAACTATAGAACTTGAACCATGCTTCTATTTTCTTCCCTAGCTTGCAATGAATTGTATAACCTCATATAATCTAAAGATTAGACCAAATCAAATATATTTCAGAAATTCTGTCCACAGTCTGAGAAAAAGGAACGAGCAAGGTGCAAAAGAACCGAGTAATTGCATAAAATGGACTAAAATTTCAAATGCTCAACAAAGTAATCATGGAAAAAAAAGAGATAAAAATCAACTAATGCTAAATAGTTTTGAGCAAAACTTCAAATTCAAGTAATGTCAGTTAACAGATTCATATGACATCTCTGAAGTTGTGTTCTATCCTTAATTGTGACTCACAAAATATATTGAATCTTACGGTTATGTAGCAAAAACTCACCGCCAACGCATTCGTGTAGTCAAAACAGCTGCAACACGAGAAAAGTTCACAAATTACCAAAAGGAAATTAAAATGGAAGACATCCACCAAACATAAATCTTTGTTGAACCAATTTATAATACATTTGAATAGTGGGTTTTAATGCCGCTGATAACAATGGCAGTGAGTAATGACAGCAACTCAATAAATCCATCAGTTGAACTTACATCCTAAAAGTTTCGATTGTGTCATTAATATAGCTTTCATATATTCTTGCAGTTCCTAAAAAAATCATTTTCTTAAGTTTACCCACATTGATTTCTTTTTCATTTCTGATGTAGTGTCAAGGCCTTAAGGCAAAGGAAAAGTACTAAACAGACAACTGGTTTAAATATTTACCAAAACATTCAGGTCTCTCTATGACTGATATAACCTGACATAAATCTTATCCATCAAAGAACTGTTAAGATTTTAACACAACAGCACCATCATGCTTCAGTTACTTTATAATAGAAATTATTAAGTAAAAGAAGTTGAGACAGAAATACTAAAAGAAGCAGAAAGTTTCTATAAATCTTTTGTCCTCAGAATTACAAAGTGAAATAATTGTAAGACCCAATTTGCAGGATTCAAATAACCATCCTATAAAATGTCAAACATAGAGTCGGATTTCCATAATTGCTTTAGGAATGCATAAGAAAGTAGATTTGTTCTAAACAACCTTCTCATTAGTTTTAGTTGAATTTACAATTCAATCAGTTCTTGTAGATCTATGAATTCCTTATTTTAAGTGAAATGGACCAAATATAGAATATGATTTACTACAGAATACAGAGTTTTTTGTCACATACAAAACAAGCTGTTAATGAAATCTAGATAGAAAGAAAGGAAGGAAACTAGGAATTACCTGTAGCAAGAAGGAGCTATGACATCAGTTAACTCATTTGCTGGTAAACAGAAATAGGGAACCTGCTTTAGTAAAATATAAGTTGGATCAAGCAACATGGTAACAAGAATCAAAACCACGTGAAAACCTGAGGCTATATTACCTCCTCAATATGGCCGTCTAGATGCTTCAATTGAACCTGTACGAAGAAGTTCATAGAAGAGTCAGATTTTATATCAAGTCTGAGCAATCCATTGACAGTAGATTCCTCCAGAAACATATGCAATGATTGCAAAAATATTAGGATATATATAACTCGAATGAATGACTATATGTCTCTCTTGTCAAATTTATAGGAATTAAAATGAGCATATAATCAAGAATGTCACGCATTGGAAAGGTAAAAATTGTTGCTGAATTTGCACCTGATTTGGCCAAAACAATTTAAGATTTACAAAAATACATCAAAAGAATGTCAAACTACAAGCCTTCTCCACTCACACTGATGAGAGTGTAACAATTAAAAACTCAAGATAAACTGAATGGGCAAGGCTGCTAAAGCAAGCAGCCTGAATCAGTCACCAATTGCTGGATTCAAGAATATTTCAGTTCAAGCATTCCACGGAATATATAAGTAACCCTGTACTGCCAAAATTGAGGGAGGAAATTATTTAGAACAAATACAATTCATCTTATTTCCAACATTGGACTTATATTTGCCAAAATTGAGGGAGGTTTACATTTTCTTCATTGCCTAACTTATAAGTCCAATATCTAATAAATGGTCCCAATGTCCATACTTCTGGTTGGCTGATGGTTCTATATGTTAACGTGTATATATATTTACCTTTTATTTTAAAAGTAAGGGTAGTTTAGTCTTTTTCATTTATTAGGTTTATTATCTTAAAATTGTAATTGTATATCATAGTATATACTATATATACGTGAAAACAGATCCCAGTAGCCACGAACAACCGTTGCCATATTTTCCCAGCAATGGGTTTCTCAATTTTGCTTAGATTATGTTAAATTAACATGGTATCAGAGCCAATTCAACCTTGGGCTATCTTGGTGGAAAAGGTTTCTTGCTCTTGCTGCAAACCCTAATTGATTTTTTCGCTGTTGTTGGTAAACTTACAGTAAGAAATTCTGCTTTTATTTTGGTTCAGTTTATATGGTAACTTCCTTTGAATTTGTTAGGTAGTTTTCCTCTTCTGCTGCTGTGAATTGTGATTTTGCAACATGGATTCTTCCTCTGATGATTTGAAAGTAATTTCAGTCCGCTCCATGGCTCAAATTATGCATATTGGAAGTTTGCTATGAAAAATCTCTTGATTGGAAAAGTTTTATGGGATGTTATTGATGGTACAACTGTGCAACCTGACTCAAAGGATGAAAATTATGAGAAACTTAATAAGAAATGGGTGTCCAACAATGCTAAGAACTTGGATTAATAATTCAGTAGATAGTTCAATTGGTGTTCAACTCTTGAAATTTGAATTAGCAAGAGATGCACGGGATTATTTGAAAAATTTGTATCAACAATCCAATTTTGCTCGTAGATACCAACTTGAGATGGAAATTAGAGAGGCAAAACAAGGTGAACACTCAATTCAACATTTTTTCTCTTATATGACAAAAATTTGGGATCAACTTGCACTGATGGATCCTCCAGAACTTGTGTCTTCTGATGCTTGTAAGAAATTATGTCAAGAACAGAGATTAATGGAATTCTAGATGGCTCTTAAAAATGATTTTGAGGCTGTTCGTGGCTCTATGATACATCGAAATCCTTTACCTAGTTTATCTTCAGCTGTTTCTAAGCTGCTTGCTGAAGAAACGCATTTGAAGTCCTTTACATAAAATTCTCAATCTGGTCCTAGCAAGTCTATATCATTACAGGTTTTTGCTGCGGGTTCCAAATAATGGTAAGTCAAGTAAATCAAGGAAATTTCAAGATGAATGTGCATATTGTCATGAAATGGGTCATTGGAAAAAGGATTGTCCACAATTACAAGGGAAGTACGAAGACCCCGTTAGGAAACACTTTCAAGGAGGACAAATTTATCGAAAGCAATTTAACAAGCCTCAACCATTAGCTGCAGTAACTTCTTTAGGAACGCCAGATGCAACATCTCTTGCACCTTCTAGCCAGGATGGCACCTCTTCAGACTTGTCTTCACTTGTAGCAGAAGAGATGCTCAACTTTTTGGCACTTCTCCAGCATCTAATGCTTCACTTGCATCTAATATAGATGTGTCTTATATGACTGATTCCGGTAACCCTACTAAATGGATCCTTGATTCAAGTGCCTCACATCATATGACTCCGAACATGTCCCTCTTAAAAAATTGTTCTGTACCCAAATTGCCTATTTCTGTTCAGTTTGCCAACGGTTCTTATGCTCCTTTGAAATGTACAGGCACTGTTTCACGACCTACATGGACACTATCTAATGCTTATCAAGTACCTAGTCTTGTCTTAAACCTTTTGTCTATTGGAAAATTAACTGACCTCAGTCTTAATGTAATTTTTTATGTGATCATTGCCTTGAATAGGATCGCACATCTAGGAGGCAGATTGGGACAAGGGTGGACTTCATATGCTTGATTCTCTGTCTTTACCTACAACTCCTTCTGTTATTGCTTTATCAACTGAGTCATTTCTTCAACATTCAGTATATAGGTCTAGTTTGTTTCTTTTATGCCATTCTCGATTGGGTCATGTTTCTAGTTCTTGTCTACAATTTATGATTCGTAAACAAATGTCGAACTCTACAACAAAAGTAAGAGATATTTCTGATTGTGTTGGTTGTCGTTTGGGCAAACAATGCAGTTTGCCTTTTAATATTAGTACTTCCTCTACTACACCTTTACAAATGATTCATTTTGATGTTTGGGGAAGTCACACGTTCCTACAAAGAAAGGTTCACACTATTATGTTGTATTATTGATAATTCTTTCGATATTGTTGGGTTTATCTGATGTGTAATGGATTTGAGTTTTATGGTATTTATGTTAAATTCCTTGCTATGGTCAAAACTCAGTTCAAAACCACAATCAAATGTTTTCAATGTGACTCAGGAGGCGAGTATTTGTGTAATGCCTTTCAAAATTTACTTGACTCTGAGGGCACTATTCACCGTCTTGCACAAATACACCTCAACAAAATGGGGTGGTTGAACGAAAATATAGAAATTTTGTTGATACTGCACGTTTATTGCTCCTGTCTAGTTTTGTTCCTTCATGTTTTTTGGGTTGAGGATATCCATACAACTACTTATTTAACTAATCACATACCATCTATTATCACAGGAAGTGTATCCCCATATGAGCACTTGCATGGGATTTCACCACATTATGATCTTTTTGCCGTGCATGTTTTGTTTTGTTACCTAAATTCAATCATACAAAATTATCTGCTCGTTCTTTATTATGTATATTTTTAGGCTATGGTGTTCAACAAAAAGGATCATTGTTATCATCCAGAGACGGGTTGTCTTTTTGTTTGTAGATGTGGTGTTTCTTGAAAAATTACCATATTATCAAGTTCCCAAGTCCTTTTCTATACCCACAAAAAAGATCTTATCCACATTAACCCGTTTACAACTAATGAACCTGATGATGATGTCTCTACTAGTATAGACTTGCATAATCCTTTATTTTCTAATTGTCGTCCTCCTATTAGTCAAATCTATTCACGCAGGAATTTACAAAAATCAGCATCTAATACCCAACCCTGATGGATCCGTCTCAACAGACTCCTTAGATGTTGTAAATCCTCAACCAAGCACTCCTTGATATCCAACTTGTCCACAATGCCCACTTGACCCCCCCGCCCCCTTTAAGTTTTTTCCCTTGCCCTTATAATACCTTTTTGTCTAATATTAATTATTACGTTGAGCCAAAATCATATAAAGATGCAATATTAGATCCAAACTAGAGAATTGCTATTAAATAAGTGCTTCATACGCTTCAGAAGAATACCACTTGGGAGTTGGTCTCCTTACCAGAAGATAAGAATGTGATTGGTTGCAAATGGGTCTTCAAGATTAAAACTCGATATGCTGGTTGTTTAGAGAGATATAAGGCTCGTTTTGTTGCAAAAGGATATTCTCAAGTACATGGAAATGATTATGATAAGACTTATGCTCCAGTTTCCCAAATGAAAACAGTACGTACTCTTGTCTTAATTGCTTCAATTCAAAAATGGCATATTTTTCAAATGGATGTGAAAAATGCATTCCTCAATGGCGATCTTGTTGAGGACATATATATGAAACCCTTGCCTGGTCTCCCACACAACATAGGTCAAGTTTGAAAACTATGTCGTGTTTTATATAGATTGAAGCAAACTTTGAGGGATTGCTCTATTGGTTAGGACTTGGATTTGCTTCCCAATAGTTACCAGTTCGAGTCCCCTCAAGACCACTGAGGTGAATACCCGATCGTGAATTATGAAAATTAGGACTATAGTGCAAGACGATGAAAGTTAGAGGACCAAATTGCATATCCTAATAGTTGAGGAACTACAAGTGAAATTCTTAAACTAATATATATATATATATATATATATATAAGAAATTAAGTAAATTTCCATATATACGAAAGATAAGTTAGAAAGATTCCTTCTTAAATATGTAAACTACCATATATCTATGAATTATATATATGATATATAATTATTATAATGTATTACCTTATTTAATGTACAATTATATGGGCATCATTATGACATTTTCTTTTTTGGTACCCCTTTATGCACTTATAAATACCACACCTAAAGCACACCCACAAACTTATCACTTTGTTAAAAAAGTTAAATTCTCCTCTGCATATTTGCCACGATTCTCTTCAAATTATCAAGGTAAGTGTAGTCATACATTGTATGTTAAATCGTTTTTCATACTTTAAAATACAGAAGTCGATTTACGAATATGATATGGGTCATATATGTTTAAGTTCAAATGACCGGAGTTTAGTAGCACTATACACGGGAATTATAGCAACGAAGTACGGTTCTTAATCTCGTGTCTCTCTATGTATGTTATGATTATGTACGGGAACTATGGCCACTTAAGTTCGATTTCTAATTCCCGTGTCTCCCTATGAACTTTAAGAATTTCTAAATTTTAAATATGAATTATGAATTATGTGGCTCACTTATTAGGATTTTATCACATTATTTATGATTTTCCCCTTTTAGGTAATTGAGGTTTAAGATATTGGAGTTTGAAACTGGCCACTTGTGGTATAATAAAGATAAGATAATTTATGAATTTTTTAACAATAAATTTTATGATTAAGAAAGTGTTTTACTTTTAATTTTTGTAACATTGAGGATAATTATCTTTTATGAAATTTCTATTTTTACAATACGTATTTAACGACTCAAAGAGCAAGTTTTGAGTCGTTACAGTTAACGTGTATATATATTCACCTTTTATTTTATAAGGGCAGTTTGGTCTTTTTCATCTATTAGGTTTATTATCTTAAAATTGTAATTGCATATCACAGTACATATACGTGAAAACAGATCCCAGCAGCCACCACCAACTGCTGCCATATATTTCCAGCAATGGGTTTCTCAATTTTGCTTAGATTATGTTAAATTAACACTATAAACAACATAAAAGCAACAGGCAGACAAAAGACTTCCCATCTTCTCCTTAGAATTAAATTATAATGATGATCACTAATACAGGAGTTCTCCATCAAGTAAGGAGTTACCGATCAAACTTATATCAGGTGTATTAAATCTATCTAATCTACCATCCTTCCTATAAGACTAACGAAGGTAGATGTTTTGGTGCCTATACATATACACTGATACTCATGTAATTGAACATCAAGCATGTGAGAATAAAAATTATAGAAGTCAAACCTTGTAATCTTGCATAAATTCATAATGCAGAACAGTTTCTGGTTCATTACTAGCTGCCTTCAGAAACTTATCTAAGCCTTCTCGTGTTCCATTATCCACTGTAGATAAAAATAGTCAATAGGTTTATCTAGAGTGCAAATGCAGGCAATTTCAGTAATATGCAGATAAAATTCAGACATTGAATACACACAGCCAACCTGTAAACAATTTAAAGAGAACAAACGAAAACATGTGTATCATATTGTTGAAAGGTGCAACTTGTAGGACTAGAAAAATGGAAGTCTAGAGCAACAATGAGATCGCAGGGTAATCACTGCTACAGGTCACAGTAATGGTCTTCAAAATGTTTAAAAAGTGTTACTTCCTTAAGCTCTGATTTCAACATATTAGACCCTAAGGTTACGGATATGGTCCAATTTGTTAAACTCATCAATGAATTGATGGAAATACCCACTAGTAGTCATTTTCTGCATGTTTAGAGGGTCTTTAATCTGGAAAACAAGAGAAATGTATAAGGGGACTTCAAATGATTGTTCTACAACTTCTTGCAGATTTTTTGAGAAATAAATCGAAGAACCTTTTACATTTCAGTTGCTGATTTATTTTCCTCCATTCATTCAAAGAATGTTACAAATTGAACCCATCTAAATCGAATCATCTAATGTGTTCAAATTGGAATTTTAGGCATTAGTAGCATGATTTAAACCATTATTAACAAACAAAAACATAGACAGATAATGACATGGTGTACGCTGAAAGTTTAGAGGATGATACTAGTTCTCAAGCAAAACTTTGGAAAATATGATAAGGTATATTGTTTATGAAATAGAGTTATCCATTAAGACCTGATATCAATTACAATATGTACATATTTTCCATCTTAGCATAATGCATTTGATACTGGTGCAATGGTGCATATCATATCAAAACGTAATCTTGTCAAAATAAGAAGTGTATACCACAATTAGTGCCTAGAACATATAGCACTTCCAAATTCAGATGTTGCTCCACTGATCTTAATGCTGCAGTTTAAGAAATTTCTCTGCATTAAGATATTACCAGTCATAACAAAAGAGATATCTGAAGCAGTATAGCCAGATTACAAAATGATAGTACCTTGCACTTGGCATCCAACACCACAGAAGAGAAGACGCTTCACCCCAGATGCCTGTGAATAATAGGCGACAGTTTACTAAGGAAATACAAGTAAGAATATATACAGGTCAAATTTGAGCTACACCGTCAGAATAAATAATATATGGCTCGTGTAACTTTTTAAACAGGTCCTGCTTATAGCTTACTACAGAAAGGACAAATTAAATACCTTAAAATATGGGCAAGGATGCAAGTCAAACAACATATTTCAACACTAACAACCAGTGTATAATGATAAATAAGAATATAATAGAATCTAACACGACCAAAACAGTGCACCACGACATGAGTATCTAAGGTGAACCTATAACTCCAATGCTATTATTCACATTATAAAAATTATGACCCTATAACTTCAAGAGCATTATTCTCGTGAAATCATTGACCCTATAACTCCCAGAGAAGTATTCACATATAAAATTATTTCCTTGTGTAATACACCAAAATTTCATGCACTTGAACTGGACTACACCAAAAGGAATCAACTAATTATTTTGTCTCATATATTTTAATCAATCACAAGTCAAAATTATGACAGTTTGGGGGCCAAAATGGGATTCAAAATCATGAAGGATACCATGGTTGGCTAATTTTTTTTATATGTAACGGTAACTATAGTCAAAGGCTCCATAAATGAATTGCAAAACTGAACAAAACTAGAATATTCCTCTCATTGTTGCTCCTCCATATTTCACTCCAATGTCGACAAGAACCTTATATAGAAACCTCCAAGATGAGTTTTCACTTAGAAGAAATACTCTCTTTAGAAGTATTTACTAAATGATCCTCCATCAAACAATTTTCCACAGCTGCAGGCTACCCCATAAATACAATTCAAAATAGCAAGTGAATCTGAGAACTCTCAGACAAAACGATCAAGCATACTTCCTGCAAATAATCACCCTATATCCTACACCTATATTTCTTCACAGCTTTGGAAAAGTTTCCTTATGATTTAAAATACCTTTGCAAAGCCACACCACTATTAGTGTTTACCTTTACCTAACATAAATTTTCCTGCTCACAATTGTAATATTAATATTAAAATTCTATTCAATACGAGTGTATGGAATATCGTTATAACCATATGCAGGAAAAGAGAACTTGGTTGCCATAAACATTCAAGTGCCGAACTCATCGATTCCTTTAACGTACAAATAAACTGCCTATAGAAAAGAATATATATACCCAGTCAAACTGAGGGAGGGTACTAAATCAACTAAGCCAATATAAATCAAAATTTGAATACTTCAGTCTCATGCAACCTATTTTGGATAAACTAAATAATAAAGTAAAAATAGTAAGCAATTACAGTAGATTGCAATTTGCAGAAAGTCATATTTTATCAAGATGGTCTATGGGATCATTCAAAATTAAGCTAAATGCTGGGGTTTCTCTGCGCTAGGCTTATCTTCGTTCGGGCTCTAGAGCAACCCTTTCTCACCAACTCTATCTAAGAGCAGAAAAAATGCCAATTCTGTACAGTATCCTGGTGGAGGATTGGAGAAAGGTTTCATCCTCGGCCCCAGTTCATTAGCTTAACATGTTTCCCCAGTCACAAGGTAATAAAACCTGGAGCACTAGGTTGTAGGACAACACTGTAGGCACGCTCAAGTTCAGCTGATTTATGCACTCATAAGTGCATAAATTTACATAAGAAATTGGCAGACAATAATGAAAAAGAAATGGAGTAACAGAAAGAACCTCAATTAGCGCCAAAGTATTGAGATTAGGAGACAATGTTGGCTTGACACCTTTAGCTGCCAGAACTTCCTCTGGAGTCCTATTGTAAAGAAAAATATCTGGTTATAAGTTGGGACAGTTATAATCAAGTCAGAAAATATCTATAAACATATGTGGTAACAAATGAAAAAACCTTGCCAAGACGGGTCTTGGTATGAATCTATCTTCTGGATCACTAAGAGAGGTCAAAGAAAAGATGTGAGAAAATTACAAACAAATGAATGACGGAAAACATCTTTATAAGGAAACAAACAGAGGGGGTGTATCAAATCATAACTAAGACAGTGAAATGGACTGATACCTCTGGACACAGACAACAGCTTCAACCATACCAGTTCTAAGCATTTCCATCGCAATAGTAGTCACTATACCTGTCCACTGAGCCCCTACAAAGTCATAAAATTATGAAAGACATGGACCTTAAGAAAAATACAAGAAAAACCTAGTCATAGTATCTAAGTGAAAGACGGTGTATTTTAGTTTGTGATGCAGACTAAAAAAAACTTCTTTATACTCACCCTGATATGCATACAACTTCATGGTAAAAAATGTATTGAAACAAACAAATTCTAGTGTTAAACAACCTTATATAAAAGCTTAAGCTGTAAAAAAGTGAAAAAACTCGTTTATTTATGTTCAACATGCCCTCTCATCTAAAAGCTTAAGCTGAAAAGTGTACAATTTTTTGGCTCAAGACTTGAACTTAGAACGTTAGTCTACTGTACTTTGATAACTTGTTGAACTATCTCATCTAAATGTTTAAACTTTTATAGAACAAATAAACTTATTTATCTAATATATGTGTTCAACACTGTCAAGGAGCTTGAATTAGATTCCGAAAATCGTCCAAAATTGAATAAGATTCCGAAAATCGTCGACGATTACGATTATATTATTATAATTGTATTAGATATAGATACATTGTTTTTACTATTAATTAATATTTTAATTGATTGCTTCCATATTTAGTTGTTATTTTAGTCATATTTAATGAGAGAACTTTTCACAAAGAGGGGTATCGAGTCTTTTATTGA